AGCTCAGTTGCGGAACTGCTCATAGACGCGGCATGCACGAGCAGAACCCCCCGGACGGCTGCTTTGGTAACTGCAGTGTATTCTACGGCATGCGTACGTTTCGAAGCGCAGCGTCTAGATGGCGTTCCACCGTACTCTATGGAACACACAGTTCGTAAACGAAAATCGAGATGGCGCTTCGAACGACGGATTGAAGTGAGTGAGGGGGGTACCCTCTTCCGCGGGAGTTCCACAACTGAGGTAATCTAGTAACGTTGGTAACAACATGTGACGAGATGCGCGGTGTGACGTCAGCGACGCGATGTCAATGAGATTCTTTTGGCGGAGTTTCGAAATCACCCGCGTCGATAAGGAGCGCGGTCGTCGGCCCATCCGCCAAGTGCCTCACTAACGGCTATCGCAGTAAAATGAACACCAAATCTCGCCTCTGCGCGCGGCACCACCTAATCTTTACACGTCAGCTGATCAAAAAGAAAGAGGTCGCCTTCTTATAAGCATCTTTAATAAGAAAAAGGTAGGATTTCTGGTGCGTTCAAGTGGCAGATGTCAGAGCATAATTTGCGTATCATATAATGGTGCTTAGTAGGCCGAAAACACACAATCGAGCTGTAGCAGAACGATCGGTCGAACCCGATGACGTGTCAGGGCCACACATCAATTGTAAAAGACTACATTGAAACAATGTGCTATCCACCCTTACGGCTCTGTTCTCGGCGCCATAGGGGCTGCAAAACTTTATGCGGACTCAAATGCACATTTTGTACCTCACTCTAAAAAAAAGCCCGTGCGTCTGCTTTCCCGCACAACACTCGGAGAGCCAATCACCGCAACTTACGAAGGCAGCTCAGCAAATGACGATGCCGAAACATACGTTTAGACCAAAAAACGCAGTCTGAGTTGTGATATTAAGCAATGCGAGGGCGTGACGTTTTGCATTGCTTAATGTCACAACTCAGATTGCGTTTTCTGCTCTAAACATATGTTTCGGCATCGTCATTCGCTGAGCTGTCTCCGTAAGTTGCGCTTATTGGTTCTCCGAGTGTTGTGCGTGAAAGTAGACTCACCGACTTTTTGTAGAGTTCTCTTGGCATTCAGCTGATGCGAAAACGGGGTATCGTGACTTTATATAAGCACTTGCTTTGTTCAGCCGAATAAATATAACGTAAGTGACGTTCCGCTTTCTCGGACACTGACTCATTCACTTGTTTGAAGAAGTTTGCGATACGGCGCACTCAGTAGCGGAAGAATGATGGTTGGAGCGTGCCTCCCGACCTGGTGTGGTATAGATGCACTCGATGCACTATTAGCGGCGAGATGTTTTGGTGGCGCCCTCCCATGGTTCCTGCTCGTGACTTCATTACCTTGCGAACAACAAGTTCCATGGTGTTTGTAATGAGCATGGTGGAAGCTTGAAATCATTGCGCTCTGAAACCAACGCTGCCAACACCGCCAAAATTGAAGTTTTTCCATTCCTCTTATTACCGTCGAAGAGAAATCTTTTCCTGACGTCATAGTCAGTACTGGTCCAATCATGGAAGACCGATCACAGCGAAATCGATTTACCGCTGTCTATAAGTAGTTATGAAGCATGCGTGATTATCGCCACGTTACGCAGCTCAGTAGAAAGAATGTGCGCGGACAGTCTTCACTAGGTTGTCAAGCGGTTGTATAACGGGAGAAGAAAACGCGCGCTACCGCCATATCGGCGGTCGTTCGCGTTCCAGAAATTTGTAGTGCGCCACACTGAAAACAGATGGCGAGGCATACACGGCGCTGTGCTTGGAAGGAAGCCTTCGTACGCGGGCCACCTAGACAGAAGGCCTCCGAATGGTTTCCTCTTCTTCTATGAAACGTCATCACAGTCGGATCGCGCTCGGTCGGCTATTGGACCCGAGCCCGACCTTCGACGCGCTGATTGGCCACGAGCCGCCGCCGAACACTGACGCAGCACTCGTGCCCAATCTCTCGCCTCGATCGATCTGACTATGATGACGCGTGTGGAGGCCTTCTGTCTAGGTGGTGTTGGCCTATATCGATAATTTCCAGCTTGACCAGCTTACGTGGGTCTCAGGATAAAGACAACAGTAACTGTTGCATCGACTGCCGACGCACCGCATGTCGAGGCAAACATGAGCTCAGAAGGATCGCCTCGGTCAAAACGTAATACTGCTATATTTTGCAACAAACTGTTCAGTTGAGCTAGTTGGTTCATGAATGTACAAAAGCACCAAAGGACAAGGGACATATTTCGGCCGGGAACAGTTGATTCAAGTACCGACCCAAACTATACGCGATTAGGCTGATGTATATATATATATATACATATATATATATATATATAAAGTTCAATTCGCGTGCATTCTCTCTAAAAAAAGAAGAGATTGGCTGGTAAGATAGTTGCCTGGCCACCAGCCTACAAATAATAAAGCGTCATTTTTTTCAACTCGCTATAGCTAAAATCAAAAAAAAAAAAGAACCATTACAAAAGTTATGAACAACTTTCAATTCAGCTTCCAATGTATTCACCCAGGGTACATTAAAAACTGAAGTGAAACTCAACTATACTTCTTGTGAGGGAAGGCAATGGATCCGAGCACATACATCTGCTGGAAAGCGTTTAGCTTCTTCTTGCACTTTGTATAAGGAGAAAAAGATCCCAGTGTTTGCGCCGTTAGCATTGACCATAGTCACTTGGAGTTTTAAAAAAACGCAGGGCGCGGCTTACTACGTTCCTGCTTCCTGCTTCGCGATTCGTACCTCGGCGTGCTTATCGGCCAATGACGCCATCTCATTGGCTGAGGGGTAATAATGAAAGGCTCAGGACGTGCCGCGCTCTGCGCTCATTATCTGGATTCCAGTTTTTTTTTTCTTTTCTTTTTCTTTTTTTTTTTTCCTACAGTATTGTTTTACCGAGAACTAGGCATATTGAGGCACCAGAGGCTGTGATATCTTGGGGCTTCGGAAGTTCGCTACGACTCTACCAAGACGAACATTGGTGTATTCGTACGCTTTCCTTTGTGTGTGTCTTGTCTTCAGTGTCTCTGGGTTTCGTTCATTACGAGGACACGCACACCACTGCACGTTACAACAGTTGAGGTTAAACCGTGGCATTGAGCGAAGGCCTTCAACACTATTTATATTGAACCAGTCGATACAAAGAGACGTGAAAGAAGACAGTGCACACAGGGAGTCCGAATGGTGCTAGCAGCGCAATAAATAACTGTTCAAGATGAATTTGTTAGATGGGAGAAAAATGCTGCGCCTCGCTTTGCCCGTGTACTTCTGTAATAATTATTATTTTAGCATTCGCTATTATTTTTATTTTCGGGGTTATCCAAATACATCCATGCACACCGTTCATTGAGGATGCCCTGTGCTCCTACAAAATAGTTGTTGAGCTACGGTATGTTATTCGAGAGGCTACGTGGTCGTTGATTTTTATGAGTCCTCCATTCTTAACTCCCCTACCCATTTCGTGTTGTATGTAGTTCCTACTGCCAGTGAGTCTGCCATGCAAGCTAGGTACGTAAATTAAGTACGGTGCTTTATTAAACTGTTAATCGCAAGATGGAAAATTTGAACTCCATCCTTTTTTCGTTTACTTTTTTTCTGACTGACGCATTATAAAAACTTACCTTTTATGTTTTGTCAAAGTTCACCGAATATTCATCGCATTACTTTAATGAATGATAATCTAGACGTGAGAAACAACAAACAACTTTATTCACTGCCAAAGACAAGGCAAAAAAGGCAATAGCCGCAGTATAGTCGTATAGTATAACAAAACTATACTCATATCGCCAAAAGGAGCTAATAAAGTTGTGCGATATCAACACCAGTGGCTCTAAATTTCTTCGAAAAAAAAACACAAGTATATACACATTCACATACAAACAACTTAACTTTTTCAAGAGCTAGTCATAAGCCTGCGAGCCTGGTCTCGCATACATAAGCCATGGGCGAAACAAGCATGATGGGGACAAAACCTTCGACTGACAGAACAAGAATAAAAGCAAGCGCGAATGTATTTGCATTGACGGAGCCTTCTGTCACACAACTGTCTAGGACGTTATGGTTGTTTTGAGTTGTATATCCCTATATTTTGCCGAAAGGAGTGTTTATTATAGAGTCCATAGTAAAAGGTCAGTAGATGTCTAAGAGTGTTTACAGACAATTATCTCGTATTATTAAAGCGGTTCAAAAGAAACGTAAATGGTTATCCTCTTTGTTATAATGTCTCTTAAACTGTGCAAATCGTTTTACATGAGCGGTTAAAACTAATTATGATTTGTAAAAATCATTTTCACTTGAACGATTTTTAGTTTTTTGCCAATCACTGAAAGTTGAACCAGTTACCCTGTACCCTCCACGTTATTGTATGTATGTCTTTCGCTCTTTTTTGCCACTAAACTGTATACCGTATATGGAATATCTAGTTGTAACGATAATGATCATAACGTGTAAATCTCAGGAATAAATATACATTAAAGATAGCGTACTGGTTTACCAGCTTAGTAGTCTTTTTATATGTTCCATCGTGAAGATATTGGCGTTACTTCGAATTTTTCATAGGCGGAGACAACAACAACCTTCGCACTTTCGTATCTTGCGCTTGACGCATAATCCCATGATCAACAAAGTCTATAAAGCGAGGTAACAACAAAACACACAATATTCAAATTAACGAGTAGTGAAAGGTGTCCCCAGAAATTAGTTCTCTATTAGCATATTTCTTAACTGATGAATATTGTTAATAAATCATCTGTAGTTACTGTGAGTTTTCAAAATAATTTTCAATATAAGATGTAGCTTTGCAACACGTCGATATTAAACGATTGGTTTGTTTGTGAAACAAACCACATTAAACGTTTGTTTTTCTTGGCAACAAACCATTGCTGACGTGCATTTCAAGAATGGTCTTAATACTTTTTTTCTGGCTTGTTGAACTATTTTGGAGGTTGGTCACGTACCCTCTCTCAATTATCTTCGAGAGTAGAATTTCAAGACTTGGATCCTACCGGTACTCCGATGTCATACGATAGGAGCGTTCTGTCAATGACCGGCGGGTTAGTGGCTCTGTAGCTTCGTGCGCTACTATCCTGGAGGCTGCCCAGGCCTCTACCTGCTGTGGTCTGATACTGTGGGAATGACTGGAGGTTGCTGTACTGAGGCTGGTAAGGGCCCCCAAATTGCGCCTGGAAGGGGTTGGACACCGTGTACTGGTACGGGTTGTCCAATTGCTGGGAGCTTTGCTGCACGGGGCTGAAGAGTGTGTTGGGGAGCTGGAAACCTCCATTGAACTGCTGGTAAGGGTCGTAGGATTGCTGAACATTTCCCAGGTTTCCAAAGTCCGGCACAGTGGAGGGACGCTGAGCGCCCTGTGCGCCAAATGTGGTATACTGTGGCTGCACAGAGACTCCGGACTGAGGTTGGGCGACACTGACTCCTTGGTTACTGTACTGAGGTTGAGAAGCGACCGTGGGCTGAGGTTGACCGGGGCTCGTACCGAAGTTTCTGAACTGTTGCTGAACAGGCGGGGATGGCGTAAAATGCTGAACAGGTATCGTCCTAGCATCGCTGAACTGCGCCAGAGTAGTCGGTGCTGGCGTTGGCTGCGGAACGGGTGACGTCCTCGCGTTAGTGTATTGCGAGAAGAGCGGCGGTGCTGGCGTAGTTTGCTGAGGCGTGGTCACAGTATAGTCGCTGAACGGTGGCTCAACAGGCGTGGTTGGAGTTGTCACCTCGAAGGGTTGCGTTCTCAGGCTGTTCAGCTGAGGCTGAAGTGGCGTTGTTCCACTTGAGGACGCAGTGTCTTGTATCGGCGTTGTCTGGGACTGTTGGGACTGCAAAAACGACTGGCGGCTAAATGGAGGTGGCTGTGGGAGCGGCGTTGGAGGACGAAACCGATCGTCGGAGAACTGGCCAGGGAAAGACTGGAATGGAGTCACTGGAGGTCCAAACACGTGCGCGGCTCTTGGTACGGTTCCGAATGGACTGCTGGGAGGAGGCGGAGGCTGAGGAGGGAACCTGCCTTGGTAATTGAAAAACTGCTGGAATGGTGGTCGTGTCGTTTGTACAGTGATGTTGCCACGGCCCAGCGCGTCGAAAGGTACGGGCAGCGTTCTATTCACTTGTCCAGGAACAGGGACGTTTTGAACTGCATCTGAATTCTTTTCTGTAGCAAATGGAGGTCTTCCGGTTGGGAACACAATCTGAGGAGTTGTCGGAGGTTGTGAAGGTGAGAAGCCAGGTAGCTGATAAATAGTACGTGGAGGTACCTCAAACTCTGGTTGTCGCGGCGGCGCTTGTTCACTCAGCTGAGGCTGCTGAGGGAACGGCCGTGGTGGTTGAAACGTCGTTGGATGCCTGCCGTCCTCTTCCTTCTGAGAAAAGAATGACTTTGGTTGTACGTCCTGTGGCGGGAGTGTTTGAGAAACAAAGGGTGACGGCGGTCCGAAAGGTGACGCTTGCTGGGGTACCGGCAAACTTTGAGTGTATGGGTTGAAGGGGTTATATTGGAGACCGTGCGTTTTGAAAAATGATTGTTCAGCCGATGGAAACGAAGGAGTCACAAACTGGGGCGTCGTAGCCACCGTAACGGTTTCTGCCGGTGGAGGCGGCGGTGTGGTCGGAGGCGGGACCGGCGTGGTCGTTGTGCTCGGCAGTGTCGTTGTCTCTTCTACTTGCTCGTACTGTGGAACCTTGACCACCTTCACGCGGCGCCGCCTTTGCGTGGTGGCTGATCGACCCGATGACCTGGTAACCGGGATTGGCTGGTTGAATTCAGACTCCAGTGGAACGGTGGGACGTCGCGTGCGTCGCGCCGGCTGGCGTGTCCTCTGTCGGGAGGGCTTCCGCTCTGGCTGGACTTCTGGAGCAGAGTTCTGGTCCGATTCGTCGAAGACAGGCTTCGCGCGTCTGCCACTGATCCGTGCTCCGAATCCACTGGGTCCCCGAGGAAGACCGTGAGTTGAGTCGACGAGGCTCGCGGGAGGGACGTAGGTTTCTGGTTCTGAATTCGGTAGCTGCTCCACGGGAGCTGCCTTTTGTGCTTGTGCTAGTCGTTGAGGTAGAGGTTGGCGATGGACTTGGGGAGGTCGTTGGACTGGAGGAGGACGCTGGGGTTGGACCACACGTTGAACGAGTGGAGGTGGACCCTGTATGTGAGCTACCCTCTGTACTACTTGAGGGGGGAGCTCGGGGGGAGGTATCGGCTGGGCTTGAGGAAGGGGCTGGAGTTGAAGTACCCTTTGGTCTTGAGTCGGGCGTTGGACCTCGATGTCGCGTGGAGGAGCTTCGGTTGTTGACGTGACTGTCTTGGGGCGCTTTCTGGAAAACATGAGAAGAAAGCTTTATGTTAGGTCTTTAGGGGTTTTGTGCTTCAGGAAGGCATATACATTTTTTGCAAGTTATATGCTATTTACTATTCTGGCTACGCAGTACGATTCCAACTGCCACATTGAACGAACGCTACTTGATTTCTCAATAAGATCAGTCACACAATTTCTTATCCGTTTAGTTTGTTTTATTTATTATTTTGTAATTCTTGTCTTTGCATTTAAATTAGTCTAGTTTTCTTCTCTTCCTTTTTTTTTCTCTTGGGGGGGGGGGGGGGGGGGGGGGAGTGTGTGACTTTAAGAATATAGTTTCCGTATTAAGGTCCATCTTTATATTTGTCATTAACGTTTTTATCATTTCTTATTCAGGAGTATATAGCCCATACATTCTGCAGAACTGCTTAAAACTGTAGAATGTAGCTTCCTAAATAAACATCAGTATAAAGCTCATGGATAATCTAAATTAATTAGATTCTTTATAGTGATGAAATATAATTTTGGTACAGCAATTTGTGGCAACATAGGTATGCAGGAGCTCTGAAAAGTCAAAATACACCACGTTAATTTGTCTTTGTGTATACTGGTGAATATTCAAAACGTGATCCAATTAATTAAATGTGCTTGGGCAACAGATTTTCTTTTTATTAGAAAAAGATGTAACGGTAATATAGGTATTGAAATTGTTGAAATGTATATTTTATTCTGGAAGACACTAAATTAACCCGTCATAAAACAGTCTAAAACAAAATTGTCGAGGTGTTAGTGAGTCAGACAAAATAACCAAAGTCGACAATGGTCTGTCATATTCCTTCGTAGTTTTCTTTTACGTTGAGTTTAGTGTTTCGCTTTACCTGGAAAGTGTTTTTGTTGAAGTACGGAAGCGGGAATGACGTGAAAAACTCCAGTTTGCTCATGACAGCCTGCGCACGCCTTGCGCGTCCATCTCTGAAAGTGTGGCAGGGCCCCGTGAACCGTTAAACCAGCCTTTAGCCTTGCCATTCAAGGCGATACGTAAATAAAATTGTCTTAAACAAATTAAAAAAACAGACATATATCTTTGTTAACATTTTATTCTCTGTAACTCGAAAATGTGTCCACATATCTACTTTAAGGTATTGCTGATTTACATGTAATTTTTTTTTTTGTAGTTTTACATTTTTGCGCCGTTCTTTTGCTCAAAAATACATTCAAGCTAAAATAAATTTAAAAAATAAAATAAAATGTTTTACAAACCTACTCTGAGAACTAGCACGCGCGACTAAGGCTGTATGCGATCAATGACATTCAAGCGCATCGCGAAACCAGAAATTATTTAAAGTGGATTCAATGTAAATTGCAAAAGTCGTAATGCATTCTAAATTGATCAATATAAATTGTTGTACTTCGTCATTGCATTGCAAGCAAAAATCGGCATTCAATTCTAACTAATAGATGACGCAAATGTTTTGTTGCACAATCCAACAAGCTGAGTTGTTCTAAAGTAACCGAATTAGTGCCACTGAATCCGGAAGCTTGCTAACAATCATTCTGCCTAAACAAACTCAGTGTACTTATAATTATAGAAACCCAAATTTCAATCAAGGGTGTTTCACTTAAAATATTCTTCCGTAAAGCTAACTATAACCAAAAGCGGGCAATAAATATAGGCAAGTTCTCTTGACAATGTATCTTACCTTAATAATTAAAATATAGCAAAGTTGCATGAAAAACAAAACGAATATATAACTTATAAATAAATATTTAAAACACAATATTCTAAAACAAGTAACTTCAAAGCTTAATATTTACTTGCATTTAAGCAACCTGACCGTATTCAGGGTGTTGTGAATCCACTCTAACAAGTGTTTTTATTGCCACAAAACTAACACTTCAATTTATTAAGTAGTTTATGCTGAGCATAATATTTATTTATTCACCGCTGCTCGCTAGTTACACTAAGAAAAAAGCAGAGCTGGCGTGTTTTGTTTTTATTGCTATGACAGTGTACCACTTTTTAGGCACAATGTAGTTCTCTTTGTGGATATATCAAAATGAAAGTTTTTCTTATGGACAACCCAGAGCACTACAGACTATATTCAAAATGTTAATGTGAAAATTAGAAGGAAAAACAAAACGCCATCTAGACGCGTTTGGGTTAATGTGGTGTGGAGGCAGACGCACAAACAGTTACTTACGTTTGAATGTGGGACAGACAAAACATAGTTTGCACATTTTTATTGGCCGGTATAATTATATACGCCGAAAGCGTTTCTTCTGATCTTGAAGTACTGCGTGCGAAGCCATTTCCCCCTCCTCCGAAACCTCAATCACAGTGGTTGCGAAACTCTGAGAGCTCCAGGCGAAAATTGCCGCCTCGACTTCTATGCCAGGAAAGAGAGCGCAACCGAAAGTACAAAATGTAAACGCAAGTTTGCGTTCTGCCAAAGGCACGCACGTAAGTTTGAACCGTGCACCCTTTCTTTATGAGCTCTCAACTTTATTTTTATTTCGGGAATGCAGCGACTGCCACTGGTCATTAATACACCCTCAAACGATGCGTGCATAAAAGAACACTATAATTAGCAGGCCTCTGAAATTAAAGCGTTATTCTCGAGCAACTTTCCCAGATTACACCCGACGAAAAAGGCAAAGAGCAAGAAAAATGGACATGACCTGTCTTCGCAATTGCAGCTTTCTTCGTTTGTTTTTTTCTTCATTTGATTTGCTGCACTTAGACAATAAGAACGACAGAGGCTTCCTGTGAGTTTTATTTTTCTGCCCTTTATTTCAAAGGCCGGTCACCAATTTTCCGGTGAATGTGTTGTTTTCCACAACGTAGCCTGTGCAACGCAAAGGTTAAGTTCCTCCCTGTAGTTTCATCGCGACATTCAAGTAAGTTCTTGAAAGTCGATTGCGCGGGCACTTTTTTTTTTTTGCGCATGATGGTCATGCTGTGGTACAGGAACACTGTGGAAGCGATGAAGTTTCCCTTGTAACGTGTAGAGCGCATTTCCCTACTCCTTTATGTTTTATTCTCTTTAGATTATAGACTATACCATAAAACAATTTGCAAAATCAATTTGTTCGGAAATATTCCGACAGAGACTGCAGAGTCACAAATCTCGTCACCTCGAGTACACGACTAGTGCCAATTGACCATTTTGTCGCACGAAAAAGTGAGATATTTCGGATATTTTTTTTATGGATCTCGGCTATGCTTTGGTTAGGGACGTTTCAGTTGCCTGTTGACGTAATTGGAGTGTCCTATAGTGGCAATCATACTTCCATTCTAATAAAATACCGCTACGCATTCGCTAGGAGTATGGAAATATCTCCCTAAGTTTTTAGGAATATTTATCGTTCTTTTTTTAAGTTTCTCCACATATATGCATTAAGCTATATATTCAATTCAACCAGATGCCGAGGGTTTAATGTCATCGGGGCAGTTGGTAAACGGTGCACAGCGTATTCTGCAAGTTAATTCAGGGTAGTTCGAGAACGATCTCGCAACACGCGGTGTCTGTTTATTTTGTTCTACGCTCGTATAGGTTATAGGTTAGGTTATGCAAATCGACAAACGCAGGGTCAGCTTTCATCTGTCATGTCGTACCACTTTATTCCCGTTCATCAATAACATAAAAAATGAACTGCCCCTTCTGCATTGTACCCGTTTAATGTTGAAATTACAGTGACTTCCATAACTGTCATCCCATACAAAAGAAAAAGAAGCAACAGGGTGAAGTAGTGAAGAAATACGGGTTTCGCAGTTCAACAAACACGCGGGTGTTACTAAACTCACCTTGAAAATTCAAAACGGCAGTTCAATTACATAGCAACCTTGGAGGTAATGCAAAACAGCCGCAACGAGAGCATCTTTGCTGCGTAAAACGAGGATAAGGTAAAGCTGCAGATGCTCCCCAAGAACTCGATCCTTTCGGCAAAAACAACAACAGCAAAAGCAGTTAGCAGGAAGCACATCAGCCGAGTGAACCAAGGGAGCAGCCTAGCTCGGAACACCGATGCTGTACGACAACAGCAACTTGTTCACGACTGGAGGTCCGTATGTGACCATAGGCTCCTCGTACCTCCTCCTCTGCTGCCGGGGCCTCGGGGCCGGCTTGGGAGGCTGGTCCAGGGGCTCCCCCTGCTCAGCTCCCTCGGGGGAGGCGTACTGCTGCCGAGGAACCGTCGACGACGCCGCCAGAAGGTTTCTGTTGTACTCCGCCTGCAACTCCTGGGCAGACTTCTGCAAGACCACGGGAGCGGCAACGTACTGGCGCTCCAGTTGTCTGCTCTCCTGCTGAACTGGAGCAACCGTCTGCTGAACGACAGGTTCGGGCTCCTCGGTCGTGTACTCGGGGCGGGGGGGCGTGGTCACGTGGTACTGAACCAGCGGCGCTTTGGGAGCCGATGTCGACGACTTCTTGTCCACGATGCGCTCGTCCTTGAGGATGATGAAGCCGCTCTTGCCGGCCGTGTAGTGCACCTTCCGCATGTGACCGCGGGAGTCGATGTAGCCGTAGGAGCCCTTCACGCTTCCATCAGGGAGTCTGAACTCCTCGCGGTAGCTCTGGCCCGCGGGGCCGCTGCCGGTGTCGTAGCCGAACTTGTAGTCGCCATCCAGCTTCTCGCCGATGTTCACGTAATGCACGGGAGCAGGCGGGTAGAAGTAAGGAGACGGCCGTTCCGACGCTCGGGGTCGCTCTGGCTGAGGCTGCCGGTACAAGGGCGCGCTCTGGGACGGCTGGCCATGGGTCAGTGTCGCCAGCCAGCACAGCGCCACCTGCGTTTGTTAAATGTGCACGAATTTTTAGTCATGATGATAAGTTAAAGCAGTTAAAAAAAAGGCAGTTCAACTAATTACAATTACGCTTAAGGACTCGAACACTGCCACGTCTAAGAGGTGGAAGTGAACAACAAATGCAAATAAGACTCAGTTTGCGATTGCACTTATTTATAGCCAAGCGATAACATGAATCGCACATTCTATGGCGTCAATATTGCATGTCAGTAAAACTGGCTGTCGCAAAACACTTTTTTTTTTCCTTAAACGGGTGCTGCTCAAGCGTTGTATAGTTCGGCGTTATGGCGTCATTGTCACAACGACGAGTAAAGACCATTTTATGAAAAAATGCGAGAGAGCAGTGAAAAGGGGCTGCTGCGCGATTTACTTCCTGCTGGGTTGGGGGCACGGTGGTTGGGGGCAAACGGGAGAAAGACCCCGATGGCGGTCATGAAACTGCATTTCACCGGACACCGTCACAATCGCACGTCATTGTGAGACAAACAATTTTCAGCGACCTTTATCTTCACGGTTCTATTACGCATGAAATTCAGTATTTAAGGTGGGATAGTTTAAAATCAATGAGAATACATTAAGCCGTTGTTTCCGAGGGTGAACAACACCTTTATTCTTATCCGTGATTCTTATCAACAGACCCATCTCAAGAGTCTGTGCCAACGCCTGTCCTCCATTGCTTGATCACGTGCTCTGAGCATGTATTGGACGCGAGTGTGACGTCAGCGTTTGGCAAAGACTTGGATCCAATCCTTCGCTTCGTGTCCAAGCAATGGCAACCGCCAATGTTGCCCGACTGTATTGAGTGGGGCAACATTTTCTACATTGAGTGGGCAACACTACACTGAGTGGGCAACACGCAATAATACTACATTGAGTGGAGCAACAAAACCCAGTTATTAGAGAGTTTTAGTAGATCGTTCCCATGACTCCGATAACGATATCCCGATACTCCGCCACCGCCTCCCTTGTGCATGCATAGTATCGTTATCGGGGCTATCGGAGGTATCGGAACGATCTACTAAAACTCTCTACTTTGCTACAATGAGTGGGGAGTCCGGGTACATAGGGGCACGGGACGGGAATGTTCCCGGCCAGTTTAGCGGGCAAACTAAATTGGCGTATATAGGTAAAGTGGCGTCAATTTTCCTGTTAGGTAGTGGGAAAATTGGATTGATGTATATGACACGTGACAGCAATTATTCCACTAAATTTAGCTGGGAAACAAAATTGTCGTGTTTGTCTTGAAGTCAAGTCACGTCACATTAAATTTTCTTCTGAATTTCGCGGGGACATTTAATTGGTGGATAGGTCACGTGACGACAGGCCACGTGGCGTCAGATCACGTGACATCAATTGTCATCACGTGATGCTAAGCGTTAATTCAATTTCCCCGCTAAATTTAGCGAGAAAGGCACGGACGAACGGACGGATCGACGGACAATATTCTGGAATTGGTGTAAAGTTAAAAAGCATTTCATGCTTTAAGAGGTCTGCATCCGTTCCAACCCAGCGCGGCCGCAGAGTCCGACGCATCCTAGGAGGCGCTACGGTATTAAAAATGGCGCTACCCACGAAGAAAAGGTCTATAGCTGGCTTATTTGCGGTCTATTTGTTCTTTGTTTTTGGTGCTTTGAGGTTAGTGACTTAGCACGCTCGGAGTGTGGCAACAAGAGGCCAACCCCCAGTCCCTCAAACGTTAAGCATCTGTCATAAAAAAAAAAAATGGGACGCTTAGAAAATAAATTTCTTCCTGCTACCTCCCTACCTTCCTGGCCGCTGACAGCTACGGCCGCTTTTGGAAACATATGTTCAATATTATAGTGATTAGCACAATTTTAAATTCACGACATTGTCTCTATCTGGCGCTTCATATCTTTGCGATTCTAAGTTAGCTTTAATGAGCAGGGCTAGTATCAAGTAGGCGCAAAAAAGACCACGGAAATGCAAAATTTAGACTTAAAGAAAACTCTACAAAACATCGAGATGTGTATTGTATACTTACACTAAAATGCCTAAAATGACTAACAATACACTGCTCTAGATATATAACATTTTTCTTGGAAACAATACAAGGGGCTTCATTATATAATCCAATCCAGTCGATGAAAAAAAAATTAAACAAAGGAAATACTCGATTATGTCTGGAGGAAGGGTGTTCCACCAGAAGGCAACGAGACCCTTCCACGGAAATAGATAAGAAATACCATTCGGCCCGTTTTCATGTGGACGGTCGACATTACATCGGCATGTTCTTGAGTAAGCCCTTACGTGTGAGTGAAGACCATGAATTCGCGGGAGTACCTCACCGGCCATATGAGACCCTTCGCTCTGAAAATGTGCCACATATTCCAAGGCAAATATACCTCCCCTTGTGTAAAAGTTTATCAGTACCATATGTATTTCACTTTCCAACTTTCGTACACCACTTTCCCTTCTACCCAGTGACCCTGTTGGATAAAAGATCGTGCTCCAGGAGAAATTAATTACGTTGACTCCAGTCAAGTGCAGAAAGATCTGCGTGTAAAACCTGAATCAGGGACCCCTTCTTCTCGGCGGCCCTAACGACCGCTAAGTGGGACAAAGAGCAGCCAAGTCAAAGGGGGCAAACATCAAATGGCGACCGGTTGGAGCTTGTCGTCTCGAAATACCGCCGATAGTGTAAGAATCGAAGCGAAAAGCCTCAAGGGGTTCCTGTGCACCCTCTGTAAAGCAAGCAAACAAAGAAAACGTTCATCAGGAACTCCAGTGTGTACGTGGGTGTAAAAACAAAAAAACAAGGCGGGAAGCTATTCAACCGTAATGTATATAATGGAAGACTACGCGAAAGGGGGGAATACGTAAAAGTCAGCATAGACACTTTTCCTCGAGCTTCCGGTGATTCGCGGCAGCGCTGCGATTCTGCGAAGGCTATTTCGCGCTTCACTCACTGTCATCTTTTGACCGCGTTTCCGCCTTCGACACGCATATCTTTTCCCCGTACTAAAGTGGGCAATGCCATTTCTTTGTGTGTGTGAGTGTGTGGTTGTCGTAGAAAACGTACCTATCTCAGTCACGACCCAGTACCTAAGAGGAAATTGCAATTCTGGAACCATCTGTTCTCCGTTCAACTGGCAGTAATATTTGCCATCTAACTGAGCAAACGAAAATCTTGCTTTTTGCATTAAAAAATGATTCGGAAATGTTTGCTTGGGAGTTCATATCTGGATGTTGATACGTTTTTACTCGTTTTTGTTTTGTCTTATTGAGTTCTTTGAAACATTACATAAGATCTAGAATGTTCTTTCTTAAATGATTACATAATAAATTTTGAGAAAACAACAACAACAAAGAAGTGGGAATAACAGCGGATGACAAAGGCTTCTCCGATAAACATAACAGTTCTTGAAAACAAATACGTTAATCAGAAGTGCCCTTTCTGCAAACACCGTTGTTCACGTTTGTTTAAAATATAAATTTTTAAAGTCATTAAGAATATCCTAATGTTTATTATTCTGTTTTTAAACATTTTTGATTGAGATATCTCGTTTAACAGTGTGTTCAAAACAGACAAAACAATCTTTAGCACAGACAAATTCTCACCTACAGCGTTGTGAAAATGCTCGTTTCATTTTCAATCGAGCTATAAAGTTTTCAAAGCACTGTTAGCAGGGTATATAAGATTTATGTGATGTTTAAATCTGTGCATTCCTTTCAGAATAATGACAGTTTTTGTATATAGTTTCGTCGCCAGCACGTTACCATATATTATTTGAGAAAAACAGCCTTTAACCTCTGACTAAGCAGGATATTTTTCTTAAAGAAAGTAGCAAGTGCTCCAAAATAATTCGAAAACCCCGGAAAACAATAGAAGGAGAAAAGATCGTGTGCAGAAGAGAGATTTCTTGTCTCTGCTTAACTTGTATCGACGCCACTATCACTTTTCTGAGAACGATGGTTCAATATCTTCATGCAAAAGGTCACCCCTTGGGAACACTACAATCATACTGACAATAAGCTAGACCAGCGGTCTCCAAATCTCGGCTCGCGGGCCAAATCCGGCCCACTGTTGACCGTGATCTTTCCAGTGGCGCACGGCCCAAAACCCGTTGCTACACCGCAAAAAAAAAAAAAAAAAAATGGCGCGGCGACGCGCATTAAAAGTGCTAACGAAGATATCAGGAAGAATGAGAAAAAAAAACTGCGTAAAAACGCGAGTTCTCTGGCCATATTATGTGTTGCACATTGTCACCACCAGCATTACTACATGTAGTTTTCTGCTTCATGTCTGTGTAACATATCTGACGAAATTCCTTTCCGTTCTTTCGCATATCGTGCTTAGTGGCTCCTGTCACAACGCTTGCAGGGCCGAAAAAACTTGATTGTATTACTGTAGCCTTTAATGCGCACATTAGATTTTTAATAAGTTGTATCGCTCGACTATCAAGCCGCTCGTGAAAGTTGTCGTCGGTTTGACGTCGGTGGACTGAACGTCGAATTGTTGTTTTGGGGTGTTACATATAGGACAAGGGGCGTACCCCCGTACACATTATTCCTGAGAGTGTACATTCTTCGCAATCCTGCTTGTGACCCAAGTATTCTCTAGCACTGCTTGCATACATAAACCTCAAAGGGAGCTACTCAACATGCCAGGCGTGCTATATTTCCAGGCTTTTTTTTTTTCATGAATGACATTCACATCGGAATCAGTGCCTCCCCAAACAGATTACGCCGTAGAGGCCACAGCTGGCCGTCATTACTCTCCGTCGTAAGATTACTGATCCATTATGAATCGAGTACACGACCTCTTGAACCGCGTGATATCTTGCAGACTAACACGTGTTACTTGTAACAGTCGTGTCGATGTGGTAAGACAACCTGTCGCCCCCCCATTGGCACATTCCGTCTTCTCTCAACGTTTTCTGTTGCGAAATGTTACCTCCCCCCCCCCCCCCCTTCAACGTTGAGATCACTAGGGTCAGAACATTCGCATGCCTGATTAGTGTGAGTGATGCCCTATGATTATTACGGACCACAAAAGTCCTCCTAACCTAGCCACTACTCAGCCGTGTTAATGTAACCGTAGTGCGACCAGAAGAATGCTAAACTCTGGGAAAACTTTCTGTGACAATGAATAGAAAGCTGGTTGCGTAACGGCTTTGTACGTTTCGCTAAGTAGTTCCGGGCATTTATGGTTTCGGTTTTGGTTTGTGTTTTCGCGTGACGGACTGGTTGCTCCAGTTCATGTCTTCGTATGAGTACCGCGGTTGAGGGTGCTGAACCGCGATCGCCGAGCGTGCAGGCTTATCCGCGCCTTCTCCCTTGACGTTTCAGCCATTTCTAAACACGGACCGACGCTTTGACTGAAGCACTCGGATCGACTGACAAATTAAAATACACCGTGTACAATCTCGTCGAATTCTATTCGTCTTGAGACCAACGCGGATATGCGGCGTCGATTTAAGAAATGCCGTGAATTTCATCGGCGCTGCATTTTTGACGTCAGTAATACGTAAACTCTTTTAGGGTAATCAAAAAAAAAACTGCGCCAATGCGATATACCCTAATAGGAGCACGCACACGCTACGGCACGAAATAAAATCCCATTTGGATCGGGCTCAGTTACCGCAGACCCTAGAGGTAGTCGGTAGCCACACTGCAGAACCCAGGGATCCTGGGCTCAAGGTCCACCCCAGCTCGCTTTCGCCGGTGAGCTCACTAACCAGCCTCTATACGGAAGCAATGTAGAGTCCCAGTTCCCTCTGTCTGACTTGTTTGCACACGTTGCATACGACTTGCTTTTGGTTCGTTTTGACAACTTTTGGTTACCAAAGTTGGTGAGAATCCTACGAACGAACAAAGGGGTGAGCATCACGAAAGGTACCGACGATACAATAATGCCTTTTGTAACGGCCCCCAGACAACTGCAATTCTCGGCGGTTGTCTCAATAAACTTTGATTGATTAACTGACAACCCGTGGAAGTGTTCGGACGAGCCCTGCAGGCTGGTTACTTTGGGGAAGCCCTGGCGAATCGGTGGCGTTATCGCTCACTTAAGTGCAGGCAGTAGTCTCCAGGAGGTTGTCCGGTATTGGAAGAGGGCTGCCATTTCAAGGCATTCGCGTCCAGGACTTACACAGCATATCCTGACTAATAATATTTTAACATTGTGAAATCGAAGCTGAACAATTTGTTAATTGGTTATATTATATAGACCCAGCATATGATTTTGGTTGTACTGTACTCAGCTGCGCGGTGCAACGGCGCGTTTCGGCTCTGTAGCTTTGGCATCATTGCCACAAAAAGTTGTCCCAAAACTAAGGGCGTAGGAGATAAGACGTGCCAAAGAAAGGGGCAAAGGGGCACGTCTTATCTCTCACTGTTTTAGTTATGTACCAATTTTTACGAGCCGGCAGCACCCCATCCTTGGATCCAAAAAATTGTCCACAAGTGCATTTCTTTTTTAGGAATGTTTTTTTGCGGGCGGCGGAGAAAAGCTCACCGGAGAAAAGCTCACCGGAGATAAGCTCACCGGAGAAAAGCTCACCGCAAAACCGGCAAATGCGGAGAAAAGCTCACCGATATTTTTTTAGCTTAGCGTGATTCTGCGTAAAACGTGGCAATTTAACACAATTCGCATTCGTCACTTCATTAAAAATATGTCCTCATTTTCGTAATATTCTTGAGGTTCATCGGGCATATTTACTAATTCCTCAGAAATTAGTAATCACCCATTCTGTAAATTAATGAAGCCGCAAGTATAAAATCAGAACATCGTACACCGGTGAAAAAGGCAACAATTTATTGACAGCTGAGGGTGCGCCGTCGGTAGCTCTGTCAGATAAAGAGGTTTATTTTTTGCGAGCTAATATGAATAGCGGTGTCTGAATCGCTTGAGGTTCAAATAGTGTGTAGTGCCTAATAGACAAGTAGATGTTTGTTAATGTAATCAGTGTAGGCTACGCTGTTTTCTTTCTGTTAATTTTACTAACAAAACTTTAGTTGCGAGAACAGCTTCGTCGTGTCGTGTTTGTTGTCTTCACTCCGTCGTCGTCGTTTGAGCGGTTTTCATCATGTATAACGTTTACCAACTCTCTCAATTCGCTACCTACCTTACAAATGGCTAGTTGTTATATAGCTCACGAATAACAACGGAGACGGTGTGCACCTCTGAAGGTCATAGGTGGCGCACCGTAGAAGGACCCTATCACACAAAGAAAACGTGTTGAAACACCAGCACGAACGGTTAGAAAGCGTGCATGTCCGTGGAAGAAAGAAGCCTCGATATCCTATTGACTGTTTTATCCTGTTTTCAAATGTTAACAAAAGCTTCAAAGACAATTTCAGGCACCGCGGTATTGCGCGTGCA